ACTTATGCATTTATTTTAAAAACACCAGTTCATAAAAACAATCTTATTATACGGTATTGAATTTAAACTTTTGCGATTCTATAATTGGATCTCAAGAATATTGTTGTTGTTTTATTTATTTTATTTACCTGACAATTGTTTCTTCTCAACTTAGCGGGTAGAGAATCAAACAAAGTTTGAATAAAATCATTGAAATTATTATAATTTGTAGGGTCAAGCTAAGTAATTTTATTAAAACTAACAAATATTTGTTGAAAAATTAAAGCTGAGATTTCGTTAACTACAAAATCTACAAAATAGGGGTTAAATAGCCAGCGCAAGAAGGTAGGCTACATTTTTGTAGCAACAACAAAACGGGGTTGACACATAAATCGCTTAGCGCTAAATTTGGGTAGTTTTTATCTTCATATAAGTAAGAATTCCGTCTGAATTTTGAAAGTTTATGTTAAAACTTATACTGAAAAAATTCTTCAAGCTATGTTTAAAAAGCTTAAAATATCGGGTTTACTAAACTTCTTCCATTAAATAGTGTGTTTAATACCCATAAAAATATAATTTTAACTGCCATAATTTAGAGAAAGACGTGATGAAACTTTTAAGCTGACTTTTTCCTTACACTAAGGCATTGCAAATAAGCGGGTAATGAATGCAGAAGAACTAAAATTTTATTTAAGTAACCGTTTCATAAAATCCCCAAGTGCGTCCACTATACATAAGTCATTCCATGAATTGCAAATTTCCCGCCTTTGAAAAACAACACTCCAACCCTTCTGTTATTTTCCAGAAGATGGGGTATTTAAGGCCACCTGTGCCGGAATCGTTTTACATAGCGACCTACCTTTAATTGTCCTGCACTCCTTAGAAATGCGGTCTGATTCTCCTTCCCACCTTTAACCTCTGCTCCGTGGCTCTTTTGTGTGGAGCCGTTTACTTGTGGGCAACTACGCCTTGGGGCACAATAAAATGTTTAATAAATTGCAAAAGTGCCCAGAAAGTGGCAAAAGGAAGCGGAAGTTCGGGAGGGCGAGAAGGGGGGGGGAATACAGATGGCGCTGGTCAGGCGAAACAAGTCAATGACACATCCCAGATACAAACATATTCTAATGAAGCTCAAATGGAAAAGCCCAACTGCGGCTCACACACACACACTCGTTTTTTGCGGGCGCGGGGGGCGTGCTGTGGGCGTGGCACTGGCACTGGCGAGATATTTGGCTTTCTAGGCACGTAAAATGTATTGAATAATTACATTGGACCGCCTAACGGCATACGAAATGAGCAGAAATCCAAACTCGAATTCGAACTCAAACCGATGTCAAAGTCGAGGCCGCGACAAGTGGCGGTCCGGACACGGGCCACGCCCCCGGCCCGCCCTTCGCCCACCTGAACGGCGGTCCCACCGCCTACTATCCTGCTGACGAGTAATGAGCGCCACAGGAATTGGGAAATTTCGAAGCGCAGCAGGAAATCAACTTTTTTGGGTGACTAAACCGCTTCGAGGGGAATGACGGACGATAAAGATTGATGAATCCACAGAAATGCATTTCGCCCGGCAATTGTTTTTCGTTTTTCGTTATTCGTCGGAACTCCAAAATCGGGAAAGGAGGGAGTAGAGCGGGCCGATGGCCTTTAAGTAGTGCTAAAGTATCAATCAAAATGCGTGCTCTGCTCGCAACAATCATGGAATTACATTGAAATTTTCGAATGCCCCGTCAAGGTGAAAAAGAAGCAGAAGAAGAAGCCCCAACTTGAAACCCGATTCCAAAGTCTGGCTGGCTGACTGACTGACTGACTGAATGCCTCGAGAGGCATCCGTAGAAAGAGCCAAGAAATCGGTTACCAAATCAGAGAAAACAAAGCGGGAACACAAAAGATGATTTATCATTACAAGAGGGAGGCAGCAACGAAAGAACTGGGGGCTTACAAATTGGATTGCCAGAGGGGATCGGAAAAATTAGCTACGCAAGGTAAGGGCAATAATGCCATGAAGGAATGCTATAGCCGGGTATTCAAAATTTTAATACAAGAATAATTCAAGCAACAATTTATATAAAATAACTACCTACTAAGTTATCTTCCAATATAGAAAACACATTTATTTATTTATATTTGAATTGGACTAAATGCATCCCAAAACAAATTTGCAAGTATTTCAAGTTAAACTAAACAAAAAGCTGAAATTCTTACTTTCACAACAAACAAGTGAGAAAATAATTATCTTTGCTTAGCTAAAAGCCCCTTGAACCCCCTTTTATGAAATAACATCGAAATTCCTGACAGAAGTAGCATTTCAAGCGGACACAATGTCAATGTTTAAGTTTTAATTTATTTAAAATCAATTTACGCAAAATCTTGGCCAAATTCTTTTGCAGCCAAATTCACAGATAAAAGGCGGAGTTGGAGTCCTGTTTCCGGAAGAAAGGCAGGCTCTCTGCGAAGCACTGAAAAATCCTGCATAATTTAATTGTCCTGTTGCTGGTTTTAGCCAGTTTGCCTCTGTCTTTATCTCTCCCACTCATTCATTCTATCTGTCTGCCTGTCTACCTGCTCTTATTTGTTGCCTTATTGCTTGTGAAAATATTTGTGCAGAGCTCTTTGGCACTCAGAGAAATTATAAATAAATTGTGGATAAGTTAGCAATAATTAAAAAAATAAATTTATAAACTTATTGCAAGCTAATCAATTCAAAGATTTTAATAAACTCTTAAAAACATGAGGAAAAGGAATGAATAAAATTGACTTTTTAAAAAATGTTTATTTTACCCCGGTGAGGTTATTAAAATAACTGATGCCTTCCTTTGTCATTATATTTTTAAATTGAAAGCTATTCGAAACTGTATTTAAGCAAATCCCAATTATTCGGCATCCATTGTTATTGCACTTTTCTCTGAGTGGTCCTGCGTATTCCGTTTGTTCACCATGCTCCTGCTGGCACCTTGCAACGTGGACCAGCGTGCAACATGCCACACACACTGTCAGTGTCTTTAATCCAGATGCGAGTGCGGCTAAATGTAGGCCCAGAAGGCAGTCGACAGGTGCTCTACATCGAGTCTGAGCCGGAGGCTTTCAGGGGTTTGCGGTTCAGGACCAAATCCACACATACAATTACTGTGTTTACTTCTAGTTTTATTGCCCCAGCCCCCGCTGCTGGTGGGTTAATTAAAGCCAGCCGTGGAAGTGAAGAGCGTTGGGGTGCTCGAAGTTTGGGATTAGTCAGTGGGGCAGAAAATCCAAAGCAATTTGATTGGGACTTTATGCGCATTCCGCTTTTTATTCGAGTGGTGACCCCGACCTGCTGCGTTCGCAGACAATTCCATTAACATTAAATGTTAATAACGGGCAGAGAGTTCCAGAGATTCTTCGAATTGGGAAATGGAACCAGTCGAAGATCGGAGCGATGGCGATGGGTCTCAGCTGATAAATTCATTAAATGCTCCGGGAAACCAGAGAAAAAGAAGAGGGCCTGAGGACCAGAGTGGTGGGGTAGGCAATGGCAACTGAAATTCAATACCATTTCGGGGGATGACGACGGCGAACCGATGATGATGTGTGCCCGATTGTGATAGTTGTTGCTGTTCCTATTATTGATGTTGCCTGGTGTCATTGTTGCCATTGCTGTTGCTGTTGCTGTCATGCGGGGTTTCTCCTCAGGCCATTGCAGGCTTACAAATGATTTTGATTTCAATTTTTTCTCTCTTTGTTTGCCACCAACTACAGTTCCGCACCCCTCCACGCGGGAGATACAATCGCAAAGAGAGGGGGGAAAACTTTTGTGCTACAATTTTCCATTAATACCATAGAATACCACGAACTTAACAGAGACGAGAGGAGCTGGTGTTTCTCCCAACGCAAGTTAATAAATTCAAAACTCCATTTTTCCATATTATATTTCCACAAGGAGAAGGTACAGGAGCACAGGACGATAGAAAGCGGTCGCCCAGCCTCTCGACTTCCCGGACACACTGAAGAAGTCACAGGAATTTACATATGAATGCCTGGAACGGAACCAAAGTGAGCTGGGGCATCGGATACACTCGAAGCTCGAAGGAGCAGTCGCACATGACGTGTGGCCATAGACACCGCATCGCCCACCGATGACTCACATGCACTCGAGCACTTGTCCTCGTCGGTCGGGCACTTTCAATTGCCAGTGAAGTATTAATGGCAGCATTTGAATAACAATGCGGATGTCGAGGCTGTCTGCTGGGTTCTGCAATTCAAATTCAAACGACCGAAGACCCAATATCTCCTACAAGCAGAAGTGCCACCACAAGTGCTGCAATTAGATCAAATTCGGGGCTAATTTGAGCTGCATATGCAGACATCTCCATTGTCACCGATGCTCAAATAAAATTCATTATACCGAAATCTCATCAAAAGTTCATTGAACAAATAGCATCAGAGAAAACAGACTTGTTTAGATTGGCTAAGGAATCTTTTTAAAATGGAATTATCTTCATTTCTATTTTCATTTAAATCTTTAAATTATATCCTAGTAATATTAAAAAATTATCAGAAAATGAGGAAGATAGCAGAGACTTTAAAAATGCATTTTTGGTTTCCACGGCCTCGCAAGGAAAAAAGTGAATCGTTATTAATGTAGGCTCTTTGCCTACTCTGAATACTGCAGACTCTGAATACTGAAAATACTGCTCTTCAGAGGCGATTTCCTGGAACCTTCGACCGATGCCAGCCCACGTAGCATAATGAGCACAGAATTCAGGGGAATTTCGCCATCTGAGGAAGAATTCATTAAAGATCAGCTGAATCAGTTGGTGGCTGCCTCTGAAATATGCAAACGTCATTCGGATGCCGTTAATTATGGACGTGGGCTTCGATTGATCACTGCATCTTGAAAGGAGTCCAAGGTATGTATCTGTTTATATTTAAATGTAATGCTGTTCGACTAGGACACTGGGTTTTATTCATTAATTTTCCAAACACCCCTAGTATTTGACATCTACCCAAAAATAAAAATTGTAGTTTAGTTTGTTTTCATTGATATGTCATCCGTCGCCATAAATTCCTTGGGTATTTTTCTGCTTTTGTTGCCTGGTAAGTTTTCTGTATTGGTTTTAGAATTCCTATAAACTCAACCCTTAACCATTAGGTATTCTTGGTCAGTGCGTAGACTGTAATGCTCACTGGAAGTTCCATTGCCAGACCAACTATACGGGTTACTACTGCGCTCCAGGCGCTTACATCAGTAAAAAGTTGATTTTAAAGGACGAATGCCTGAAGAATATCAGGGCTTATGATAGCCCCTTCTCTCCATGCACGCCCTTCCCTATCCAAATAAGTTCGGTATTCGGGGATTCAACTGAAACCTGAAGACCTCTTAATATTTCTTCTCCCGCAGCTTACATCGAGACGTTTTGCTGTCTTTATTCACCCTCGCTGGGCTGCCAGTTGGCCCTCAATCCAGGTGTCTTGAACAAGGAGAAGCTACCTGTCAGCAGATGCGAGGACTGCATTGAACACTGCCAATGCTTGAACAAGGGTGCACCTCCCTTTCAGCCCTCTATAAAGTTACCTCTCTTGGGGATTTTCGCCCTGCTACCTCAGTTGATCTAGTCATGTTGGAAATTTTGGACTCAAAGTGGCGCAAATCTTATTGAAGCATTGGCCGTAGTTCAATGTACCTACTCCTGTAGGTGCAAGTGAAAAATGTGGAAGAACCAATTAAGTGCCAAGATACTCATGCAATGATGAAGTCATTTAGACCCTAGGAGTTGTTTGTGGGGCAAATACTCCTTCTACCAATATCCACGTTTTTCTTGCTGTAGGCAAATAAGTCAATATTAATCACCTTAAACGGATTGAATAGATACCTGGATTAAAAGCTTGACACTGTTAATTATTTTGGCCTATTATCCAACTACACCAGGCAAGGAACCGATCCCAAAGTGCAGGCTGCATCGAACATGATATCGTCGTCAATTTTGTGACGAAAACTAATAATTAATTTTACACAATGCAGTCGAAGCTCAAGTGGGTCAGTATGTTTCGAACCAAAGATTTTTGAAAAATGTCGTTCAGATTAGTTTTCACTCCATAAAGCCATTTGGATCCTTCTTCGATTAAAGTGTTGATAGGTACGTCGTAGTTTAAAGAGTTTAAAATATAACAAGGAGAGTGAATAGTTTGGTTTAAGCCAGTGCCGGATCCAGAACACATTTTTAGCCTTAAAGTAAACAGCTAAATAAATGACAGGACCTAAGCTAGCTAATAAAAACTACAAATGTCTGAAGAGTAAGATGGATGTCCTTTGGTCAATGAGTGTACTTTAGCAATCGAACCATTTGACCATCCGATGCTTCAGATTCCAAGTCGGGGAAAATGCCTAGAGACCAGCGTCGACCGGCGGTACGTGACTGGGACCATTATTGTTTGCTTATCTACACCTAATTGCTTCTGGCTACACTTAATAATATGGCACAGGCATAGCCATAGCCACAACGTCATCGTCGTCGTCGTCGTCATGGGGAAGTCATCTCCACCCCCTCGAAAAGAAGAAGAAGGTGGAGGTCTGCTTGTTTGTTCGGTTTCCCACTTTGCGTTGGTCTACTCGCCGCCTCTCTGGCGTTTTCATTCAGCCCGAGATTTGTTGCACCATAAAAAGGGCTTCTCGAGATTCTCCCCTCTCTCCTCCCTCCCTTGCTGATCCCCAGGTTATTGTGCTCCATGGTTTCGGAGTCCGGGGTCCGTGGCTATTTGTTTGTCCGCCGTCCGTTGTGCTGTCTTCTTGTTGTTTCTTCCTCGGTCTCTTTTCTTCGTTCTTCTCGTTCTTTTCGCCTTTTTCAATTTGGTGGGATGAAAAATTTCATTGGAATTGGTTTTTATTGTGGGGCCCCCTTCTGATGGATTTCTTTTTTTTCGGTAGGTACAAATTGTGTGACGCTAATGGAGCATGCGGGCGGTCGAGGGTCTTCGATTTTCGGACGAAAGATGTCCAACATCAGACAGCGACATGGCTCATTAGCTGAGAGATTTAAGTTGTTTCAATTACATTAAACTATTGAAATACTATCGAGTGGCCTAAAAGTCGTGTGCTGCATCTGTCAGAAAAACGTAAATCATAATTTCACTGCTTCATAAAATCTTTCTCTACTTTTCCATTTTATTTTCCCCCCTGGAATTTCCATCCATCTATCTTGCGTGCTAATTGTTTCGAATTTCCAACCCCCTAAGAAGAAGAGAGGGGTGTGAATAGGGGATGCTTTCAGTGGCTGTCCACAGTTTGTCCAACTCAAGAGGAGCAGATGGGAGAAGCTGGGAAGAGGAGAGGAAAATTCCTTGTTCTCCGGTTTCCCTTCAACCCACACTGCCTTTTCTCCATTTTCCGTGTGTCGATGCATTCGTCGCAATGTGACAATTGCTAATTTAGCTGTGGGATCCGCCCTGCCCCCAACTGCAATTGGGGGCGTGGTCCAGGAAGTGCGTGACTCGACTGACTTGCAGACCATGGGAATATCAATTGAAAAGTTGGCTGGGGGAAGGGGAATGAGGAACGGAGGATGGGCGGCTGGTCTATGAACAATAATCAGGCTAATAAACATTTCATTCACAGGCCCCATTGAGCGGAGCCAATAATAACAACGGCATGATGGCTGTCTGCATATGCCAAATGCTGAATAGGAGCCATGAAAACAACGAACCCCCCCTCCTATTGAGAACATATGGGGGCAGACAAGACGATTGCTTTCGCTTTCATCGGATGGCTGTCATAATACAAGGGCTCCAGACATAAACCGGAAATTATTGATTTTGCTTTCTACCCTCGATAAGAAATCTGTGGGGTGTTTATCCTAATCAAGCGGGGAAAATATGGTGAAATCATGTACTTATCAAATTGGAAATCCAGATTTTTCACCCACCTGAAAGAGAAAAGAAAATGTAAAGTTTAGTTGTTTGTTGATATAATAAGTATTTTATAGAAATAACTTAAAAAGAGCTACGAAGGGTAGAGTATTTCCTCTAAAATCACTTTTCCGTCGCAAACAAACCAGACATCTGCACGTTGCAATCAAAACAAGAACAATAGAGCTACCTACAGGCAGTCGATTCCCACCCGCCTTTATCCCAAAAACTGGTTAATCCCACGCAAGCCCTAACGATTAACCAAGCCGAACCGAACCCAAAACCCAAACCCAATTCCAAACTCCAGCCAAGCCGAACCGCAATGAAAATTGCAGCCCAAAAGAAGTCCAGATAACAACTGCAGATATCAACGTGGCAGGAGCAGTAGATGTGGCGACAGTAACGCCGTCATAAACGCTGCCAGTAACAGTAACATCCAGAGAAAAAGGAACGTTAACCAAAAACCCGACTATGTGGGTACCAAAGGCAAGTGGACCAATTCCAATTAAAGCAATACGAAACGGGAAGCAAAGGGACATGAGTTTGGAAACCATACAGACTTCATTGGATTCTTCTTCAATACAAGACAATGCCTTCAATATACAACCATAATCTAATGATATCTTACAAATCTACATTGTCAAGTATGGGACTCTAAATAATTGTATTATTATTACAAAAGTTTTGTGAATAAACTTAAGGCAAAACTTACAGAAGTAAAATTGATTCCAAACCTTAAATTTCAAGTTTCTTTCAGTGCGGAAAAGGAAGTAAACCCATTTACCACGGCAAAAATAAAAAGGGCAACAGGAAGGTTAAAGGGTAGGGGCTAGTCAGGAAGTCATCCCGAGGGCAGGCGGAACGATGGGAAATCCAATAACAGACGGGTATTCCAAATAAGCATATAGATGGGATTAAAGTTTACAAAGGCCAACAAACAACAACAGCAGGATTGAAAAAGAATAAGCATAGGCAACGTTTAAAATACCCTTAAATGTGGAAGTACCAAAAGAGGTCGTTAAATGAAAAATTGTAAATATAAAATAATATAAATATATATAAGAAAAATAAAAAAATACCTACTATTGATTTGTATTATGATAGGTTGCAAAAACAAATTACCCCCTTGGGGTAGGGCATCTAAAATTGCATATCCAATGAGCGGAAGAGCGGAAGTGGCGAATGCAATAAAAAGGAGGCGGGAGAACCACGGCAACTGTCAAAACTCCCACGATGTCCGAATCTGCACTGAGCAAAACTCACTCACTTTGGAAAATTTGGCATGGGCGTGCAACCCCTTTACTCGTAAGTAGTAAGTGGTTCAACCGAATCTAACCCCGTCGAACGAACGGCGGTCGATTGGTTGGCAACAATGGCAACTTCTGGAGGGCTAACACGTGGTCCACATCCACATCCATTCGTGCCAAGGGTTCAACGGGGTCTGCTTATCCAGGTCCTGCTTGGGCATTTTGTATATTCAATTAGCGCCCGCTTCCATGTCGAACATTTCCGTTAGTTGGGGGTGCATAAACAGCCTGTTTTGGGTGGTTTTAGGGGTTGGGGGGTGAAGCTCCTTCCACCCACTTGTTTGCATTTCTAATGCAATTTGCGGCTGCAACGCTTTTGTTGCAACCCTGGACAGCCCTGCCTCCAAATTGTGTGGCGTGTCGTGTCCATTAGCACCTCAACGCTCATAATACATATTCATTAATGCCCATCGCAACGCCCCCACCCCCAACCACCCAACCACCGGCGATCCTGAACACGTGGCCACCGAGCAAGGGGTTTAATTAACCTCCAAAGGGAGCCACCTTATCCGGAGTCAATCTCTTTGACTGCGGTGTAACCAGATAGACATTCCCACCCAGCCAAAGACCCACCTCTTTCTTATCCTTCAACCGGAAACCGTAGCTCTTCGAGTCACCGCAAAATGTTCTCATTCATTAAAGTTTCGGGCAACGAAAGGGGCAGACACGTTGATGCCCCAAGTCAAACTTGATTGACTATTGTAATTGTTGTGCAAAACCCCCGAAAACCCTTCTTGTATTTTGGCCTAGGACAATATCTGTTGGACGTGCTCCTTTTTATCTTACACATTAGTTAAAGCTTGCGGCGAGAGCAACAACAAACAACAAACAACTACCGAAACACAACAAAACACTTAAGCGAAACACTTTTAATTTTAACGTTACGATGAGGTCTGGATTAAATAGGTGGGTGGGGGTGGTTTAGCCCAACCCCTTCCTTGTGGGTTAGTTGGGGGCGAGCAACTGAAACTGATGCCCGGCACGTGGACGTGAGAAGAACATGACGCCCTCGGAGATTCAGACACAAAAGCCAGGCAGACAGACAGCCGAAAAGCGGGGATACGACAACTGGGTATTCGGCACTATTTAAATGCGATTTTCAAGCTGTGCCGAAAAGGGGGTAGTCGAAATTAAGATGGATGGCAGGGGGTAGGGGGGAGGGGGGTTCAGAGCACCCTGAGCCGTCGGCACGCGCACAAATTAGTGAGCAGCAGATATGAAAGACTGGGCTCGTGCCATTCACTCACTCGCATTCGTCGGCAACAACAACAATGGGGTTGCGTATAATCAAAAATTAACATAACAATACAGTGTACTCGGCAACAACAACAACAACTACAAAAGCCGGGTAAGATACAAAGAAAAACAACAAAAAGAAAAAAAATATACACGAATATCGAGATGAAT